TAGATATAGCTTCCATATATAGTTTCGTCCGATTTAAGGTAAATTGTGTATCAAAGTCGCTATATATCATTTGATTTGCACGAAATTTGCCACAGTGTACTTAATTAGGTCCAGCATGATGTGTGCCAAGTTTCGAGATTATCGTATAAGATTTAGATATATCTCCCATATATAGTTTCGTCCGATTTAAGATAAATGGTGCAGTCCCTATATATCATTCGATTTGCATGAAATTTGGCATAGAGTACTGAATTAGGCCCAGAATGATGTGTGCTAAGTTTCGTAAAAATCGGTTCAGATTTAGATATAGCTTCCATGTATAGTTTTGTCTGATTTTATGTAAATGGTCAGATTCCATATATATTTTCGTCCGTTTTAAGGTAAATAGGTCTCCAAGGTCCTTATATATCTATCGATTTTCACGAAATTTGGCATAGGGTACTGAATGGGGTCCAGAATGATGTGTGCTAAGTTTCGTGAAAATCGGTTCATATTTAGATATAACTCGAATATATATTTTTGTCTGATGTAATGCATATTGTGGACTAAAGACCCAAAGATTGGCCGACCCGCACACAATTTTGTACAATGAACTGAAGCTATAACTATAACCTTTCGTTTGTCAAGTTTTCTTGAAATTGGTTCAGATTTACATATAAGTAAATGGTGCACTAAAGACCCATAGCTAGGCCGATTGGCAAAACGTACTGAAATTAATATAAATTAATCTAGCTTATTATTATAACTAATCATAGCTTCCATATATAATTTCGACCTATTCATGTTGCAGAATGGCATGTGTAAGGACTGATGTTAGTTGGTTTACTTATAGATTTAGATCGCATTTTTAATTTCATGTCAATGTTCCGAAAAGACGGTAGCATTAAAGTTATATAAGTCGAATATTCCCTAAATGGCGAAGGGTTGCATATAGTCGGCCCAGTCCGACTTTACTACTTTCCTTACTGGTTATTAAATAACTTAAATTTGTTTAGACTCACAGTCGTTGGTTCAACTCGCGTCGATCTTTTGCGCAGTATTTCCAATTTGTTTTTCACTTGCTTGTTCTATCTAATTCGTGGTCTTCCCCTTCTGCGTGAACCCTTAGATGGGCCCCTTTTATATTCCTTATGAGCTGGGGCATCTTTATCCATTCGCATAACACGACCTAGCCAACGTAGTCGCTGCAGCTCGATACGTCAGACAATACCGAGAATAGATAGTAAAGCTCATGATTCATTTGACGGCAATATACACCGTCAACGCTGATCGGCCATAGGTGTTTCAGAGAAATTTTCTCTCAAACACTCCAAGACCTGTCTCATCTGCTTGCGTAAGTACTCATGCTTCAGATCCATACACCAGCACATGTATTATCAGCGTTTTGTAGAGTATGAGTTTGGTCTGGCGGGAGCTGGCCTTGTTTTTAAACTACCTACATCTTCTCCGGATTTCAAAACTGGTGTCATTAGTTTTATGTATGGCGGTACCAAGGTATATAAAATCTTTGACTACCTCGAATATGTAGTTTTCAAGTTCCCCAGTTGGTACGAGTTTTGCGAGTTGATACCATCAGCTTGGTCTTCTCGCCATTTACTGTCAGACCCAATTTGGCAGACTACTCAATTTGTTCAAAGTGAACTGTTACCGCTCGCAATGTTCGACCCATTATATTATACAGAATGCTATTTCTGTTCACATTTGCCTCTCGTATGACCTTTTCCTTGTTCGATATAAAAGGGCTACGAGAGGTCCTTTTCGAATTTAACTATTAATCTTGTGCCAGTTAAAGTTATACTGCATAGCCGTATTATTGTGGCAGGAATGCCGAACGCAGATATGGCTTTAAAAACTCTGAACGGATAAGGCTGTCGAAGGCGGCTTTATAGTCGACGAATATGTGGGTCTTTACCAGGATTTGGCGCAGAGTGAAAATCTGATCAATGGTGGATTTGCGAAGTCTGAAGCCGCATTGGTATGGTCCAATAATGTCATTGACCATTGTCTTCAGTCGTTCACACAGCACTCTGGATAGCACTTTATATGCGATGGGAAGGAGACTTATTCTTACATAGTTGGCACATATCGTCTGGTATATTTTCTGTGCAAGGGACACAGGATGCTGAGGTTCCAATCATTGGACCCGCATTCCTGCTCCGCTTACTCCTTAAAATTTCTCCCTTCGGAAAGTATGTTCAACTTATTTCTGATAAATAATTTGAAATGTAGTGGATTTTATGAAGCATTTGGAAAGAAACTTATCTGAAGCAAACATTTTGTAAAAAAATATAAGATAAAAAGATTTCTTAGATGAATTATAACATTCACGGTATACCCTCAACATTAATATTAATATGTGGATATACAATGAAAATGTGTCTCGACGATATGACGATTTATGTCCAGATGTTTCTTTGACCCAAATTCATTTCAGACAATAAGGAATCGCATAAGAAGTGTCATTCCGTTTGTCTGTTTCTCTAGTGCATGACATCTGTCGAAATGCGTAACTATTTTTATCCAAATTTTGCATATCGTAATATTTCTTCCAAAATGTAAACAAACGCAAAATTTGATGGATTTGTATTCGTTTTTATGCAAACTTAAGACAGCGTACCAAATGCCATGTTGGGTATGTGGGCCAATGGGTCCACATCTTGTGATACCTCTCAAACAATGTGTCAAAATTTTACAAATCGAAATAGTACAAATTCGGCTCCTAGGAGAAAACTCACGCAATGACAGGATCTTGAATAAACCGAAAAATACGTGAAACCAAGATTATATATATGCTCAAAATATCTACCATTATATGGGACTATAATAAAGTCGACAGTGATATTTTTTGGCAGTGAAGTTTGACAGCTCATGAGACTACAAAACACCAAACTAGTAATTCGGTAGAAAAACTTGTCCAAAATGTGCTATACAATGAGAGGTTTAAAAACGTGTACAAAATACTCGAAATATCGAATACTGGGGTTTCAGTTATATTTTTGGTATGAATATGTGTTATTCAATAAGAATCGAAAAATCGAATCGAACCAAAAATTACAGCCAATCCCCAAAATACCGAATATTGGGGGGTAACGTTATATACCCCATTGGGCCCAATTCAACAATTTATTTACAGATATGTATTATTCACGCAAAATACTAAATTACAGGCAATTCGGTTGGAAAATGTTTCAAAAATCCACAGAATACCAAATATAGAGGGCCTCCGGTGGGGCCTCCGATGAACATTTCGGGATGTTGCGAACGGAATGAAAAAATTTATATACCCTCGACCTTATGGTCGAACTTTTATATGGTGACTAGTATATATAATTTTTTCTGTTAGCCTCCAAAACCCAGAAATTACAACCTTGTTTGTGTATAGCTAAATTCATGGTTTTAGGCCCATTTTATTAATCAGCACATAGCAATTTTTGACAATCATACAAATTTCCCGAAAAGGCTTTTAATTAATTGGGGTTCATGATTGGTAAAAAATCTAATTTGCAAAAAAAAAAAAAATCAAAATAAATCTATGTTTTGACATGGCCTCATCCTGAAACTTTTTATGCTCCTTAACTCATATCCGACAGAAGTGATTTTTTTTTTATATTTTGGGTTCTTGGTATGTGAAAAAATTGACTGTAGTAGAAATATTTTCATATTCCGTTGCTAGTGCCGGATTCTAAGTAGAATATTGATACAAATTATAAAATATACTAGTCTGGAATAAACGCTCGTGTAAGAAACTCTTACTCTTTCTATATGAGATTTATTTTTGTCTACTTATTCTGATTCTCTTATATATAAAATATGTTTTTGTTGGTCTATTGTCAAAATTCCAAAATTAAAAAAAAACTTAAATCGGTTGTAAAATTGATTGGCTTCTGAATAAAATTCCTGGTTGTTGTTGAATATCAAATAAACCAAAAATACTCCCTTTAACTCCTTTAAAATATCATTGAATTTAATTTAATTCTCATTTCAATATCAGACAATGCAATTAAGCGAATTTATTTTGCCATTTCATTTAATGACAAATAAAAACGACAAAAAATGAATACCAAATTTCGTAACGAAATTCTAATTCAATTTTCTCTTATATTTTTGTTCTTCTATTTCTTTTAATATTTTTATTCCCAATGAAAAAAAAAACGAAAAACTACAACAAAAATATTCCCCCCTTTACCCACAAAATCGAAAACGACCAACCAATCAACTAACCTAACAACCAATAAACGCTTCAAATTTTGCACCGAACGAAACAATTTTCAATTATATAACAATGGTGAAATAAAAAAACCAATAAACTAAAATTGTAATTCTTGTGAAATACACACGAAAAAAAAATAACTACAACTTCAAATGGTTGGGGGAAAAAATTACAACAACACCTTGACATATTCAACCAACCAAAAAACAAACAAAAACTAAAAACTCAACTGGCAACAATGCTTAAATCGTTTTGAAAAAAACACACAAAATTGTTTTTGCTTACATCTTGGTTTTTTGGAAACAAAAATCACCTTTATATCCTTGGGAAAAACACGATGGGGTTGTTGCAAATATTGGCGCATTGCTTGGGCACAATCAAACCGCTTGATGCCAACCAACGAACCAAACAAACAACAACAACATCATGCTGCGGGTGGGGAAACAATTTTCACAATGGAAAAACAATAAACCTTTTTGCAACTACGATGGCGGTGTAACAATCACCATCCTTCTCCAAACCAACCGACCAAACGTCAACAACCCCATGGCGAAAAAAATAAAAATACCTTCACATTTCGTCGTCGACATCGTCCTTCTAACATTGTAATGAAATGTTCGTTACAATTTTGTAACAAATTTTTTTGTTATTTTTCTGTTTCACGGGGCTCTTGTGTATTTCCCCAAAAAATACCCCCCAAAAAATCAACAAATAACAACACCAACAAAAACAAAAAATTTTGGGAAACAAAATATAAACGTTGAACGTTTATAAAACTATAAACTGGCAGCCGGATAACGGAAATGCTAAAAACATAAAAACCACCAACATCGAACAACGACAAGAAAAACAACTCCAACCAAAATCCAACAAGAGCGCTGGTGGTTCAAATGTTAAGTCCACCGCCATCTCCACAACTGCTGCGAGCATCGTTCCCCCGGCAACTCAGGCTCCGGCTTCGGTGAACAGTCAAAAAAACAAGAAAACCAAAACCAACACGGCCCGGAAACTTCTAAAAGCCAATGATAAGAAAAGTAGAATTTTTATAAAAGTAAGTTTTGTATATTTTTTTTCAGTTCAGTTTAGTTACGTTTTCGGTTTCAAATTTTTTCTCTACTTATTTCTTGTTCTACTTTCATTTCTTGTTTTGTGCTCTGCAATTGGCCCCCGTTGGGGTTATTATTGCGTAGGTTAACGTTTTTTGAAAGTTTTAACATTTCGTTAACGCTCGCACGTTCGCCAAAATTTCATCGCCACCAGAAAGGAAGAAGAAGAAAAATAACAATATCATTGAGCTAAACATTGTTCGTTCGTTTTCATGAAAGAAACTAACACACACACTCTGACATATATTCTCAATTGTCATATATATATGAGGGAGGACGAGGTCACCTTATTCGTATCCCAAATAAAATAAAAAGTCCATATTAAATACTAATATCATTCTAAAATTTTATAATTTGCTTTCGAATTGGTTTTCACAGGAAAGCAAGCATGAATGCCATTCCGCTTCATAGTAGCAATATTTGCTGGAAATTCAGCAATCATCACTTCTTTGAAATATATTTTTGAAAAATCAGATAGTTTGCAATATCGAATTTGCCAACAAAGTTGTGGTCGTCCACGTTTTACCATTATCTTGCTAAATGTATGTACAATTATAGGCTTATATATTGATGGGAAAATGGTTTGCATAAACCCCACTTTCTTATCCTGACATATTTTCCAAATCTCGTTTTCCCGAGGTAAATATTTACGCAATAAAATTCAAATTTGGTCACTTTAAGTTTTGGTTGATTTGACCCTCGGAATAAACAGCCATTCAAAGTATTTGGTCAGATCCCCTTCGCCGTGTAAAAAATGTTTAATAATGGCCCATAGAACGAATAGAAAATCTGACAAAAATGAAGTTTTGGGTTCATTGCACTACCTAAATATCATCTCAACATCTCCGAAACTTAAAGTTTCGTCCTTGAACATAACCGGAACTTCATGTGAAATTTCAAAGCGATCAGCGTAGATGCTATTAAATATTTACGTATAACTCAACCACGCCTCGTGGATATAATATCGACTTCTCCGGTCTACTAAAGTCTGGGTGTAAATATTGACCGATTATCTTGAAAAGAGCCATGCGTGTTTCTTGGTCAGATCCCTCTTTCTCTCATAAAGTTCGGGTCATAATTATGGTATCTAGAGCGTCCAAAAACGAAAATATTTATGGTCCATATTTATATTAACCGAAAACAATAGGGATCTTCTCTGGCCAGAACCCGTCTTACATGCACAAATTCGTGACTATTGGTCCATAACTGTGGCTTTTACAACATATTTGTATATGGTTTAAATAGGGTTACAACTTCTGAAATATTTAAAATTCCTGTGACAACCTGAATGCCTAATTATAGCCCTAACGGTTGAAGACGGTGAATAGGACCATCGAAGTACCAAAAATGTAGCGGGACTTTTATATAAAAAAAACTGACAAAGGAAGAAATCCTTTACCCTTTAGGAATCCTCTGAACATAAAATACTTAAGCGGGATCCTTATTTGGGTTGTAAACAACCTGTGGCAAGTCGAAATAAAAACCATATCAGTTGCAAATGTGATTAGTGCCTTAAAAATATCTGCAATGGGACAGAAGACTTGCAGATAAAGTGTGCCAAACTACCGCCACTTCAGTTGAAAAAGGTGGCGAAAAATATTGGAAATGGGATGATTGAGGCTTAAAGGTTTTCTATATTACTTACTTACATACTTAGCTGGCTAGAGACAGAATATTTGTTCCATAAGCCGAGCTTAACAAATATTTCAGGGCGCGTCGCAGCTTTTCCAAATGTTGTCTTTCACTTGATCTTTCCATCGAATTTGTGGCCTTCCCTTCGGAGATTTTTTCACTCAAACACTGTGTTTATTATAAACTTTTTCTCTTTATAACATTGAACCTCAAATAAAGGATAACTTTAGATGAAAATCTTTTATAAACAGAAACATCTTTAAAAGCTATTCCGTGTATGAGTATGGATCCTCTGCGGATTTTCCCTATATAGAAGACCAATAACTCTTCTTAAGATAGAATCTCTCTTATAAATATTCGATAGTTATAGGCTTTTCATAAATTGAAAACTTCCTAAAAGTCTTTTATAAATAACGGGCCTTCTGCAATAAATAAAATACCCTTTTCAGAGAGATTCAATATGAAGAATATATTTAAGAGGCTGTTTTTGAAATACAACCACCTACATAGGATACCTGTCAATTAAAGGCTTTGCATATGTCTTCTACAGGTCTTAAGTTTAACGACTTTCTACAGATTTAATACTTTTTTTTTGGATCTTCCACCTCTTATAAATCTTCTACTGTTTGAAGGCCTTTTATAAAATGGAAACATTATAAAAATTTTTCTGTAAGATTTATAGGGTTTTCTGTAATAAATATAAGACCTTTTTCAGGTCTTTCTTGGTCAGACAGACAGATAGAATACCTTTTATTGGTGTCCTGTAGGTAGCATACAGCCTAAAGTACTTCAAAGGCTTGAAGCTTTTTGTTCTACTAACTACCATAACATATATGACAAAATCTCCTTCAAAGGAAACCCCAAAATTTCCGTGTTTAAATAAGTAAGAGACGTTATTTGAACATTTGTAAATCCCAAAAATGCGTCCGGAGTGCCCGGATTTATCCATAGTTTGCGTATCGCATTATTTTTCCAAAACCTGCATCCGAAAATGGGATCCATCGGTCATAGATTTGAGCACCTCCCTCTCAAGAGGGCAACATGAACACTAATTCTATTTGATTTTATTCAAAATCAAGTGCACTACTTTTATATAACCTAGAAAATGTCGGGTTAATTCACTATACTTAATGTATATACCACGAAAAATGTATCTGAGATGGAAATAAAAAATCAACCTTTCTAAATAATGTAAAAAAAGCTAGCTGCATTTAATCTAAGCTCATTTCTGCCATGTTTAGTTTATACCAGGATTCCGACCCATCTAATCTTGATTACATCCAAAATCGCATTCTTATCGATCACATTATTCAAACACCATTTTAATGACATTCTTGTAACACAAACGCACTTATATTTCTTGCAATGGTGGAAGACATATTATTCCGTCGTCATTATTGTCATATTGCTTTTAATGTTGTGATTGTTAATTATAAAAATTGAATTTAATTTCTATATTTAAAAAATTGTTTTATTGCATGATTGGTTTCCAATGCAATCATAAATTCATGGCCAAATTTCGTTGCATGTATTTGTATACTATATGAATTTTATGATTCAAGGATTCACATATGGTAAAAAATTAGACTAGGTGATCCTCCAACGGTAACTAGCCTTGATTGTAATCTCTAATAACTTTATACATTAAATAAATTCTCTCTTGACCACAATAACTAGTGTGGATGTGTCCTAGCAAAATATTATGCATACTACTTCAAAAGTATCGAATAATAAACTTGAAATCCTAAAATTACATACCCTTCACCACTACGGATATATTAAACAGGACTATTAACATAAAATTGGATGAAATAAAATATATGATATTTATCTAAATGTGAATCTACCTAGATCTATCCATAAAGCATGTAAATCGACTTGAATCAAATATAAATAGACCATCCGTTGGGGTATGTCTGTACTTCTACAAAACGCAACTACGTAATTCTATGCTCAATTTTGTAAGTTGTGCAAAATTTGATGTCAATCTGACTAACATGAGGAGTTTGATGCCCAATTTACTTGAAATCGGGCGAAAATATATATGGAAGACCCTATCCAAATATTGAGCGATTTCAAAAAAAATTGTCACAGGTCAGGTTATACTAATTTCAGAACGTTTTGTTCCTATCAGCCTATTGGTTCATTGGTGTGTCAATTACTTAAAATCAATCTATAATAAAAGGGAGTTATATCTAAATCTTGACCGATTTTCACGAAACAAGGCAGACATCACTCTAGGCTCAATTCAGTACGTTATGCCAAATTTCGTGCAAATCGAAAGATATATAGCGACTTTGTTGCACCATTTACATGAAATCGGACGAAACTATATATGTGAGCTATATCTAAATCTGGACCGATTTTCACGAAACTTTGCAGAGATAATTCTAGGCTCAATTCAGTACGTTATGCCAAATTTGGTGCAAATCAAAAAATATATAGGGACTTTGGTGCGCCATTTACATGAAACCAGACGAACTATATATGGGAGCTATATCTAAATCTGGACCGATTTTCACGAAACTTGGCGGACATCATTCTAGACCTAAATTATTAGGCTCTACAAAATTTCGTGCAAATCGAAAGATGTATAGGGACCGTTTACATTAAATCGGTATATGGGAGCTATATCTAAATCTAAACCGATTTTTCCCAATTTCAATAGGGTTCGTCATTGGGCCGAATAAGTGACCTATGCCAAATTTCATCCAATTCGGATCATAAATGCGAGCTGTACTTTGTTTACAATTTAACATGGACAGACAGACGGACGGACGGACATGCATAAATCGACTTAGGAAGTGATTCTATGAATATTCTCAAAAGGAACCATGTGTCTATCTCGTTTCCTTTTGCCTGTTACAAACATATGCACAAAGACATAATACCCTGTACCACAGTGTGGTGAAGGGTATAAAAACAGGCCACACACAGGCTTAACTATATATCCTAATATTGTGGGGTTAAACCATTCCTTTTCTCAACCTAACTTAATTTTTATTGGCTTACACCGTTTCATAATGCTCAGGAAATGATATTATAAATAATTTGTATGTATATGTTCTTGTTCCACTTCTCCTCCGTTGTAATTTGTACTCCCTCAGTCATACACTCTTCATGAGACCCTCTACACCAGAAAATGACGTGATGACGAGTGGTAAGGGTCAATTTCGAGTGATTGCTCTTCTATAATCCGGATAGATTTGCGTAAGAGGGAAATTTTTAATTCAAGGCGACTTATTTTCAGCAATATGCCTAGATATTTAATAATTTGTCGTTTAACATTAAATCAAAATCTAGAGATTTGAAA